TGCTGAACATGCAGCTCTTTTTAAAGTGTGTGTAGTTTCTATTTGTGTTTTACCATGCGTTGGATACACCGTACATATACATGCATTTCAAGTGTAGCCAGTAATTCCCTCATTGTGTACTATGTGTCAGTTTTACACCAAGTATTTCCATTGCACAAGTGAACATGCATCCAGGATAGACAGGACCATGAGCCTTGTGCGAGGTGCACATGAGGGGCTACATGCTGCACGTGCTACGCTTTCAATATGTGCCACTGAGTGTTGATGGGAACCACTGTGCATGTAAATCTGACCAGCAAGGATCAAATATCTCAGACTTATTGACCGATCACCAGTCATAACCGGTGTACAGTATGTTATTAAGCCCCATAGGACTTTTTTTTTTGTGATCTTGTCTTTACTTTCTCTCTGAGTGTCACATTTTATAACCTAAGTTAGAAGGTTGTGGTGAAGAGGGAATGGGGCTTTAATGGGAGTAAACAGGTGTGCAATAATAACTACAGGGCAGGCAAGAAGGAAGGCACATGCACATGTAGAATGTCTGACACAGGTAAGTAATGACGATAAGGAAACAGGATCACAGGTGTTAATCTGAACTGATTCACAGACAGGCAGAAAGTCAGAGGTTCTTCAGCTGTGGTCCAAATTGCCCATTGGTATGATTGCTGTACGTCTATGAATGGGGTCTCCTTTGATAGTTTATGTCCTGCACCCTGGACATAGCCCATCTCTTCTGCAATTGTTTTCTGTATTCCTGTGTATTTACTACACAGGAAAGAGATGGCTTATATCCTGTCTCCATATGTAACTTTTATTAACTTTTTTACTCCCTTCCTCAGGTGACTCAAATGGTGAGCTGCTGGCCAAGCTTTGTGGGCAGACCGTCCCTGGCATTCCAATTGTTGTCTTCACCCCAGAGCTCTGGGTTCATTTCCAGACTGATGCCTCTCAGGGAGACAAGGGCTTCAAGATCAAATACTCCTTCTCTGGTAAGGAAATCACTGAAACCTTCATGAAGTTGATGTACCATAGGGTATATTTACAGCAGTCATAGTGTTACTGTCCTTACATGGATCATTCTCTCTTTCCAGGGTGTGGAGGCTGGCAGACAGGTGAGGGAGGGGTGATAGCCAGTCCTAACTACCCTAACATGTACCCCGACCTCAGTCGCTGTGCTTGGCTGCTAGAGGCTCCAGCGGGCCACACTATTACAGTGAGTCTGCACCATGGCCTGGTGCAATGTTTGACTCAAAGAATGGAAGGACTGTATAGTATATACTGTCAGCAGTGTTACTTTTTTAGAGTCTGGATGTGTTTACAAGAATCTACAAGGGACCTACCATCAGTACATAACAGCAGAACAGCTCAACAATAACATATATACAGTGGTGATGCAGAGATAACTGTTTCCATGTTCAGATAAGGTTGTTTAACCCCAGGATCTGCCTTGTAGTTACCTACTTTTTAAAAATGTACTTGGTTCCCACTCCTCTGTCTCACTGCAGCTAACCTTCAGCTACTTCAACGTGGAGCACCACTCTGCATGTGGCTGGGACTCTGTCACCATCTTCAACGGAGGATCCCCAGGCGCCCCTGTTATTGGCCAGTACTGTGGGAACACCTCTCCAGGAACCATCCGGTCAGGATCTAACAAGCTTGCTATAGTTTTCATGGCTGACCATGTTGTGGCCACAGGAGGCTTTTTGGCCTCCTGGTCTGCTGATTCCTCAGGTGAGTTTAAACTAGCTATATGGTCACACTATACATTTCCTATACTGAATTAATTTGCTTTGATAGAAAAATAGAGTGAATTTAGAAAGTATTCAGACCCTTTGCTGTGGCACTCCAATGGTCAGATGTGTCCCATTTGCTTTAATTGTCCTTAATTGAAGTCCACCTGTGGCAAACTGAAATGATTATATAGGGAATAATCCACACTTGGTCCAGTGGATAATATGTATTATTTAGAATTTGGTCCCATATAACTCATATCATACATACAGATATTGTATTAAGGGAAATGCAGCTATATTTTGCTTCTCTTTATTAATGCTTGCAATGTAATCAGTACAATTAGCAACATGATGCATGATCTAAGTCATTATACAAGAAGTGTGTACTTGGTTGTAAAAAGACGGAGCCAGTCAACTTTTTTTTGTGACATGATTTTTGTAGAATCTCTTTTAGAGCTGTAATTCTTAGCCCACACCCAACCCGACCGTCGGGCCTACCCGACAGGTCGGGCTCAATTTCTATCAGGCCGGGCTCGGGCTCGGGCTCGCGCGTTCAATGAGTGGTCACGTAAAATGACAGGGAATTGCTTGCTGAGAAGGCATGTTGAGCGATGTTGTGCCAGGCCCCAGAATCAACCCCAGAATCAACCTACAATCACATCGTTTGTTACAACATCAAAACCCATCCCTGAAAAGGTGAAACAAGCGATGACGGAGAAGTGTGTCAGTTTTTGCTGTAAAGACATCAGGCCTTTTAACATCGTAAATGGTGAGGGGTTTGAAGAGCTGGCACAAGAACTAATTATTGTCGGGGCTGCGTATGGGAGGGTTCCCGTAAACTCTGTTATTCCCAGCCATGTGACAATTGCAAAGAGGTGCACTGCCCATTTAGAGTGCTGAGATGTTCAATACGGTATCAATAAATTATGTTAAAACATGTATAAATGACTCATTCTTGGCAAAAGGTGTGTGCGTGCGCCGTGCGCACATTTGGATAATGTCAGGCTGTAAACGGGTTCGGGCTGTCAATCAAAAATGTACTTGGGCTTGGGCCGAATCCTGTTGGGCCAAACTTTTCAGGCCCAATTACAGCTCTAATCTCTTTATGTGGCATGATTATTCAGTCTGTTTATATCAGTGTTCTCAGTTTCTCATTCATATTATTTGAATCATTATTTTATACATGCACAGTGTACAGTGAATGATTATTTTATACAACATCTAATTGCGTCCGGCCAGGCTGTGGAGGGGTGATCCATGCCGATACGGGAACAATCAAGTCTCCAAACTATCCTCAGAACTTCCCAGCCAATGTGGAGTGTTCATGGCAGATCATTGCCCATGAGGGAAACCACCTGGAGATGAGCTTCAACAGTGATTTCCAGATTCCAGACAGCTCTGGGACCTGCCAGAGCAGTTATATCAAGGTACCAGCACTGAACTACAGCAGAAACATGGAGTGAATAGAGAAACTAATGTTGCTGTTACTGCAGCTGCAGCATTACCCAAAGATAACAACCTGCTTACTTGGTCCTTTTTAAACAATGATTCATCTCAGCACAGACATTAGTGCAAAATACACTATCATAATTTATAGAGGAACATGTTCATGGTTGTGACAATAATGGTCAATTACATTCACTACTTGCATCTCCATCATGATGGGTCAACTCTTGTTCTGCATTTGCAGTTAACTACTCCTTCTTAGCTGTCAATAGTGTCCATGGGTTAAATCCTTAATTTATATGAAGCATTCTTCTATACCACTAACTACTACACTAATGTTGCACCTGCTGACTCACACAGTTTGAGTCCTGCACAGAAGTGAAAATTCAGATTGTACCACCAAATCAAACAGCATAAACTAAATTCTAACACACATGGTTCCTGCCAAGGAGTCTTCCAAATCACTAACCATTATGCTAAAATTACTTTTACTGACACACAGGACCCTTACGATTGCAGGTCTTACCAAAACCCCACTGAGTTTAGCCTTTCTCTCGAAGTCTCATTTCTGTGCAGCCAGGGTGACAGGAGCCAAGCTCAAAATCCCCTTCTGCACGTATGTGTTCTGCAGCTAGTCAGTAGGAGAAATAACATACAGTATATTTTTTCAAAAGAACCTTCATAATATTAAATATATTCATATCTTATTGACAGACATATAGTTAGGCTTCCAATATGTTTTGTTGAAAATCCAAAAAATAATGTGCAACAATCCAGAGGTCAGGAACCAGGCTACATCCATGCATCCATGCTGATAATAAGTCGCTATGATGCAAAAACAGCTTTATAAAATATTTTATTAAACAGTGAGACACCCAAGATAGACGTAGGCTTTAAAATCTTTGAACATTTGGGTGAATCAGAGGAACGGTCTCAAAGAGAGGTTAATTTCTTCAAGCATTTTACAGGATGATTTTGATCCTAAAAATTCAGACTGATGCCTTTATTTATTTCAAATAGGAAATGTGCCAAGTTGCCTGATAAATTTTTCAGATGTGTACAGTACTGTATACTGGAAACAGTGTTCTATTTTGCAACAATTTCTCAATCAGTGTGCATTTTCCCACAGGTGTGGTCAGGTCAGGCTCAAAATACTGAGGCTCTTCTGTCAACAGGCTGTGGCTCAGTGGCACCGAGCCCCATCATTGCTCCATATAACATCATCACAAGCCGATTCCAGGCTGAAGCAACTGGCAGAGGTTTCTCAGCCTCCTTCAGCACCCGTAAGAAACAGGCAGCCAAGACTGAGATGTTGAGATTATGATGTAGCTTTAAATGTTAGACTCCTGTGTTTGCTCAGAATGAATCATTTCTCACATGAGACTGTAGATAATAAGATAACTATAAAAGGTCCTTCTGTGGCTCAAAACTTGGGTTTTTTATTTGCATTTTCTTTCTTGTAACAAATGGCTTTAAATCACAGCTTTCATATGACATAGTCTTAACTTGGATTGTGTGCTCTCCAGTGTTGGAGTGAAGTATGAGGTGACATGTCCCAATAAAACACAAAGAAAGTCTGATGTCTTTTGTTCATCAGGTTGTGGTGCAAATTTCACAGCTCCCAGCGGCCGTGTGGTTTCTCCAAATTACCCAGCCGACTATCCCAACTACTCCAACTGTAACTACACAATAGACGCTGGACAACAAACTGTGCTTGTCCTCACGTTTCAGAGCTTCCAACTAGAAGGTAAGTCTTTGTGCATTAGCAACAAATGTCTTGTTAAAATGCAGTGGTATAATCATAAGACTGACATGTTTTCCTCTTGGAACATTTTGGACATTGTGCCAAAATGACATTTTTGTATTTGATAAACCAGAAGTCACTTATGTGTTGAGTATGGCCTGTCTGTCTGTTGTCTAGCACACTCTACCTGTGTCTTTGATGGGCTGAAGATCTACAGCCTGGCTGCCAGTGGCCCTCCTATTGCCACTCTGTGTGGTACCAGCATCCCGGGACCCTTCTCCATCTTTGGCCCCATGTTACTCCACTTCTACTCTGACTCTGCCATTATTGACAATGGCTTCCTAGCAGAATACAGAGCCTTTTGTGAGTAAAGAAGATTATGTTATACTACAAGTAGTTTTGTGTTATAGAAAACAAAAACAAGTTGAGAATGTATGGACTGTGGACAGAAACATCTGCCAAATGTATCATACGCATGTGTTTAGTCATGGGCAATATGGCAGGTAATTGTAGTGAAATTTAATTCTGCTGTTTTCTCAGACTCAACTGGGGGCAAAAAGAGTACATTTAAATCCCCTTTTGCTAGTAGTACTTTCTACTAGTCTTTATTTATCAAGAAAAATGTTACTCAAATTTCAAATTCATAATATAAATGCATTTTTATTTTTCCCTACTACTAATTAAATGTTATAGATTGAATTTCCTTTTTACATTACATAGTGTGGAATCACAATTTCCCAATGGAAAAACTGACATGGAAAATAAAAATGCTTAATTGTAAATGCTTCAGTTAAATGTTTAAATAAAACTTGTAACCGAAGGGGAAAAACATTTTGAGGTAATTTGAAAATGAACACCTATAGATATCTATTTGCTCCCCCCGCACCCCTCTATTATTTGTTTACTGTACTGGATTCACAGTATATTAATATACTGTACATGCCATGATACTTGTTGTGTGTGTGTCTACAGCATGTGGCGGCTTTTTCAACAGCACTTTAGGTACACTGAGCAGTCCAGCACTCTACGAAGCCAACTACCACCACAACATCAACTGTACCTACCATATCATGGTAGCAGCCAATAGAGTGGTGGATCTCAGGTAAGACTGCGCTGAGTGCATTAACTGAAATGCAGGATTAGACTGGGAAACCTAAAGTCTGTTTGAGAAACACATTTTCAGTTATGGAGAGACAGGGATTTTTATATTTTAAGCCTGATGCAGTATTCCTCTTAGAGACCAAGATCAACTCTGAACTACACTGGTGTTAAGAAGATTTGATAGGAGGGTAGAGAGAGAGGATACAATGAACATGAGAGCTTTGAAAGTATTACTGTTACATTTTGCACATTATTTTAATATTATAGCATTATTTGCTTTTTGTGTAAACATAACCGAATATGAATGCAGCCGCATTTGCCACTTGAGGAAAACAGCTAGCTACAATACGTTATGAACAACATTTTAGTTAGAATTTTCACATATTTTATTGATTTTTTTAAAACTCAAAGTAATAAGAACAGAAATACTTTAGACAAAAAGCTTTCCCTGTTGGTCCCATCAGTCTTAGGCTGGGTCATGGTTGTACTGGACAGGTTCCATGCAACCACAGTACAAACCGGTGTAACTCTGAAACAGGATGCTGATTCAGAAGAGCCTAAAACACTCCTTGATAAGAACTCATTCATGTTCTCCTTTTTCTCCTTCCACAGGTTTAACACCTTCCATCTGGAGGCGTCGTCTTCCTGTCGCTATGACTTTGTGGAAGTCTATGATGGACAGGACACCTTGGCCCCATCACTGGGAAAATTCTGTGGTACAGTGCTCCCACCCAATCTGCGCTCCTCCACTAACCAGCTGTTCATCGTCTTCAGGACAGATGCCTCAGTGAATGGGATTGGTTGGAGGGCTACTTACCGCGAGACACTTGGTATGTCAGTGTTACTGTACAGTATTTGCAGTGCCAGGTGAGGATGATGTAGCTATTTTCATTTGTTAGCAGGTCATGTGTGCAATAAGCAAATAATAAACAAAAAAAATGAGCGCTACAGTATGTACTTATCTTTATCCTGGTAATGGGTTTGGTCAAGTAAATTGGTTATTCATTCATAATTCCTGCGACATGAAAGCAGGTGTGAGCCTGCAACATAGTTTTTTTTCTGTGTATGTAGATTGGGCATCTGAAAATAACTACAAAACGTTCTTTCTACTTGTTGGTCCCTTTCTAGCACGTGGTGCATTAGGTGTCTTCCTAGCTCACCTGTGCCTAAATACAGCCCTGCTGTCAGACGTCAGCGTCAAAGCACAAGCTGCCTCCTAGAAAATGATTTCATACCTTTCTCTGAAGATTTGTGTAAACAGGAAATAGTGTGCTTTTTCCTTAATTAGGTTAGCTATTGTTGTGTTAATTTTACTGTAGCTTACCACACAGCGCATAAGAGTTAATCTGACAAAGGTTTTATTAGGTATAAAATTGCATAATTAGAGTACATAGTATGTCATTACAGAATGTGTGGAAAACCTGGTGTGCTGGTCAAATAGTCATGTGCAATACAAAGTTGTGCCCTGGGTCTCTGTGCCCAGTGTCTCAAAGCTACTGAGACATTGTTATGCACATTTTGAACATCCCAGCCATTATTATTTTTCTAATTGGAAAGGCTAATCTGCATTTGCCTATATGTTTTAAGATTGGGGGAAAAACTGTGTTTGTTTCTAAATTGCCTGCAGGTACAGCACAAGGTTGTGGTGGATACCTGACAATGCCCGTGGGCATCTTTGGTTCTCCGGATATAAACATGGATGGGTTCTATGAACCCATGCTGGACTGCCTGTGGACCATCGAGATGCCGATCAACAATGCTATCAACCTGACCTTCAACTCTTTTGAGCTGGAGAGTTTCACTGATTGCCGTTATGACTATGTCAAAGTAAATATTAACACAGTTTTCTAAAATGAGAATAGAATTTTATTGAGCACATACAACATATAGCTCTGTCATGATGTTGCACAAGAAATCATGTCTAACTGCAAAATTATGATCATGAGTTCAGTTGTTGATCTGACTGGTTTGCAGTAACATCAACATCTATGAACCACGGCCAGTTGATAGTGCACAATGCTTTCATTTGTGGGTCACAATTAAACAGATTAACAGTCATTTTGACTTGTGTGGGGATTCGCTACTGCATTGTTTCACCTCTCCAGTTTATGATACCAAGGGTAATAATCAGAGACATTTATAAATTGCCAGATATGTCCTAGTTGTAATTGCTTTTGCATATTAAATGAGCTATATAAATAAACTTCCTTTGCTTTGCCTTCCAAAGTCATGTAGGACAGCACTACATTGACAGTAATGCTATTACAAAAAGGAATTAGCTTTTTTTGTTAATATTTTTTCTGTATTTGAATCTCCATCAGGTGTACGATGGTGACAACATTAACTTCCCTCTAGTTGGGACATTTTGTGGAAATACCATCCCTGCTTCTTTTGTATCGACTGGAAACTTCCTGACCGTTCACTTTGTCAGTGATAGCGTAATAAATCAAAGAGGCTTCAATGCGACCTACAGAGCTGTGCCATGTAAGACATTTCCACCTCTCCTTCTACTATACTGCTCTCTACTCACTACAGAAAAAAGACTTCATTCTCATCTGAAAAGCTTTAAACTGTTGCCATCTAGCTCATTTAAAACTAGTACTTATCCCAAACTAGTATCATCTGTGTCTGACTCATTGTTCTGTCCAGTCTTACCTCACAAGTGCTTTACATATAGTAATTGTCAAAGATGAAAATGTCAAAGATTGTTTATTTTGGAAAGGGGAAACACATTTGTTTCGTTGCCACCTCATATATTTCATATACAGTTTGTCTTTGCCAAGAAGAAAACACCAAACTGTAACTTAAAAGGCATAAAAGATAGAGACGCAATGAAAAACAAACAACAATAGGCTGATATGCGGAACATAACAGTACATACGGCAACAATAATAGTAATTAAAATAACTGCTTAGTTGAGCTACTAGCAAGTTACTACAAAATGTAGTTAAATTACAAGTTTAATTACATGTAGTTCGCTACTCCCCAACAGGACACATCACTATGTGCATTTTGAATCTTCTCAACACGTTTGCCTTTCCCAGTGCTTTGCGGCGGAGCTCTGAATGTCTCGACCAGCAGCCAGACTCTCACGTCACCCTCCTTTCCCAGTGCCTATCCTCCTTACACCTCCTGCCGCTGGATCCTGGATGCTCCACCCCAGGAAACCATCAAAGTGTCAGTCCAGATATTTGTGCTCCAGCCCAGCCAAAGCTGCTCTACAAACTACTTGGAGATGAAAGACTGGCCTGTGGTGAGTTCAGACAGAGACTGGACTGAAAAGTGTTATCTCACAAGCAACAAAATTTACACAGATGAGACAAATGAGCAGGGGTTAAAAGAAGCTGTTTTAGTAAATTGGCTAGTAACTTCTAAAACTGAAAATCACTGAAATCACTGTTTTTGCAGATCCTTTATATGAAGATAGTTTAATAAAGGCAAAGTTTACCTTATAGAATTTTTTACCATGCAGAATTTGCATGTGCAGTGTTGAACGTGTTCACGTAAATTGAAAAGACTAAAAATGAAAATCACCCTAACAGCAGTATGTCTGCTTGTGAGTTTCAGCTAGTTTCTCAGTCCAGAGTTTCACTCACAGCTTTCACACCATCTTAAATAAATCAAACTAAAAGAATAAACAGACCAGAGATTATTTGAACACGTTGGATGTGAAAGCATCATCAGTCACTCGAGAGGTTAAAAATGTCGTTTGTAGTTGTAGTGTGCATTCTGACTGATGTGATTCTTGTGCTTCCAGGGAGACTATGGACAGTCTCACAAGTTCTGTGCATCTGATGTCCATCCACCAGTCTTCTACAGCTATGGCAGAACGATCCTCATACACTTCAAATCTGACACCTTTATGTCAGGAAATGGCCTCAGTTTGAACTATCAGATTGCCAGTAAGTACCTGTAGTAAACCAAGATGAGAAACAAAACCAACATATCCAGCCAAAGTAGAAGAAGTATTACTTAGATACAGTTATGCTTTTTTTATTTATTTCATTATATAATAGAGGGCTTCAGATATGTGTACACCCCTTACAAGCTTGGTTTAAAATGGAGAATGTGATCTATGGATGCTCCGACCCAACTGTACCAGTAACTGGTTGTCATCCCACCAATCAGCACAGCTTCGCTGACTGAGATGAAGGAAATATAATTTTCCATTTGGAAAATGTTGTAAAATCCTACCACTATTGAAAGACTGGGTCACCTAAAGTACAGAGAGAAAAAAGTTCCAAAGAAATACTCCCACAACAGTATAACAGCTGTATAATAGATGTTGAAACAATGTGCATGATGAGTACTGAGATACATTCTTCCAAATAGTTTAAGTGTTTTGACTGTGGAGATGGTTTCCAGGCTGCAGCCGAACCTATGAACAGGAATACGGCTATCTCAAGAGCCCGGGCTGGCCTGACATCTACCCTCACAACACGGACTGCACCATCATCCTGAAGGCACCACAGAACCACTACATCTCCTTCTTCTTCAACAGTTTTGATTTGGAGAGCCATAGCAACTGTGACTTTGACTATCTGGAGGTAAAACACCAGTAGACATTAAGTGGCACACACACTTGGACTACATTCATGACTTAAGTTTCTGCATGATATTCATACTGTACTGCTTTAGGGGAATTTCTTCATCTCATCAATAGGTCTACAAGAACACTCATAGTACATGGCCTAAAAAGGGTTAACTGTCTATATCTTTGGAAATAGGGCTGGTCAAAATGGGAAAATTCAATGGTCACAATATTAACATGAATATTTATATTGAGTATGTATATTTGCCATATCATCTTACAATATGGCACATGTAAGAATAGTCACATATATAGTAGCAAAACTGGTGTTAAATGTAATGAGCTCTGTTTTATAATATGTAGTAGTAATGTGAGAAGAAAAGAGCAATGCAGAGTCATTTGTTTAAGGAGGTAACTACTTTTAGTAGTATATATGTGCTATCAGTAAAAAAATAACATGAAATAAATAAATAAATGCTAAAAGGTTAATCACATCATGTTGACACCTGCCCGACCATTCTGGCTGACCAGTGATGAACTAGCTCACATTCAGTGTTCTTGTCTGTCTCTAAGGTGTTGAATAACGTTGTGGTCCGTCCTCTGTGCAGGCCAGCCACATTTCTTCCATACCAAAGTGGGAATGCCATCATTTGGGGAAACCATTTCTTTATGAACTTGGCTTTGTGCACAGGGCAACGTTCATTTTTCAGAGGAAATTAGAGCCCTTTTCACAAAGCATATTATTGTCTAAAATAACACTGTAGTGTGTGGACGGGTATCCACATACTTACATACACTGCCACATACATATTGTAATATATTGTGGTAATAATTAAGTATATACAGTCTGCTCTGACCCTTGTGATCTGTCTGTGATGTGTCAGTGACTCAATAAACCTCAACACTCATGTTGTCTCAGATTCGTAATGGCAGTACATCGGACTCACCACTGATTCAGCGGGTATGTGGCAGCACCCTGCCCAGCCCCATCTTCCCACAGTCCAACCTGCTCTACCTACGCTTCAAGAGTGACTTCTCCTATGCGCGAAATGGCTTTGATGTCACATGGACATCGTCCTCTCATAGTAAGAGCCGAATTGTTTGTACAAATTATTTTAAATAAGGTTCCATTATTACTTTTATTCCTGCCAAAGACTAAAACAATTGCCAGTTTTTTAGGTTCAGTTTATACTGGGAAACCTGCCCCTGTCCCAGCTTTTTTGAACTGGGTTGCTGACATCACATTTAAAATGAACATATATACAGTATTTTTTTAAACTAACATTTCTCATTTTCAACATTTGATTTGTTGTCTGTTGTGTACTTTTTCAGTCAAATATCTATTTGCCAAAAACTGTTTGCCAAACATTGACATTTTACACAGCATCCCAGCTTTCTGGAAATGGGTTTGTATTGTTCTTCAGATCATGGAACATGTCCTGTACACGTCTTTATATTGTTAACTATGATCTTTCCTATTTATATGTAGTCAAAAAGAAATGGAAATCTTTGGCCGGGTCTGGAAGCTTTACCCGTTTCTTTGTGTCCATGTTGCTGTTGAACTAGAAAAGGTGTAAACTGGCCTTTTTCCCCACTCACTCAGTTTTAATCTCCTAGGTTTCTGTTTTCTTTTTTCTAGAATACCCATTGTTGTTACTGATGGTAACAATACTGCTAGGACCAGTAGAAATGATTCACATCTTCCTGTTTTCATAACATGCTATTCTTTCTGCTCTTTTAGCTTAAGCGCCTTTCTTTACTGTGCTTGTGTACTAGGTTGTGGTGGCACTCTGTACGGAGACCACGGCTCATTCTCAAGTCCCAACTACCCAGGCACCTATCCCAACAATACCCACTGTGAATGGGGCATCATGGCACCCAGAGGTCATGTGGTGACAGTCACCTTTGCCCAGATCGGTATTGATGACCCTGGAGATTGCCAGAACAACTTCTTAAAGTTGTATGATGGCCCAGACACCTCCTCACTGCCTGTTGGACCTTACTGCGGAGCGGTATGTAAACACAATAAACCAACCACTAGTTCAAGCGTAATGTAACAGAGTTGGGGGCTGTTTAATAAGCCTGTCACAACCAAAGGCTAAACGCTTTTTCAATTTAATGCAGGGTTTTAAGATTTCAGATGAAAATGATCCCAGCCTCACTTTGATTCATTTTGACTTTGCTTTATTGACCATACTGTACCAGACAAAAATGGTCGGATAAATAGATATTTATATATTTAGAGTACCCATTCTACATACAGTATGTGTAATGTACCATATTAGATACTATGTTTTTTAATCAACTTCTCAGCTATATACTGTATCTGTATCTGTGATTGATTGACTATACAGTGGCATTATTAGTTTTCCCTCTGTGTGTTGTTTGCTCAGGAAACCAACATTGCTCCATTTACAGCCTCCTCCCATCATGTTTATATAGTTTTCCAAGCCCAGTACGCCATCCTGCCTTCAGGGTTCAGACTCACCTGGAGCAGCTGAGAGAATGACCTTCAGCCCCTCCACACACATTTACCGACTAATTTCCTAATCATGTTTCAAACACCTGCTCTGCATTTATTATTTAACTAAACAAATGTAAATAAGTTATAATAAAGACATGACTCAAGTATAATAAGGTGGTCATTCGTTTGTCATTTCAGGTGTTCATTTTTATTATATTTACTTACCTGCTGGAGTAGCACACAGAGTAGGTGTGCATTCCTTGCTGTACATATACATTGTGATAATTAGTTAATTATATTTACAGGGTATAAGAATCTACAAAAACATTTAAAATGAAATGCACATTCACAATCAAAAGTACATTTTATTTAGACAAGAAATAAGACATGAAAACATGTTCAAGCATTATATGATATACAGTAATAGGTATTTTTGGATAAAGAATGGATCTTCTATTTTGTAAAACCCCTGGTAAATATTGATGGGTAAGCACAAATGTGTATATCAGCAATACACCAAATTAAGACTAAATGTAAAAATGATTAACATGGATGCTAAACTTCCCAGATGATGTAATAGAACACTTAAAATGTAGCAACAAAATATAAAGACAATGAAAAATATTATAAATGCAACTGAAACTTTTACCTTCTTATCTTTGGAACCAAATCTCAGTTTCACTTGTCTGTATGTGTACACGCACATTTTTTGGGGGGATGTGCGCAACAGAGTGTCTGATTGGTATTTTTCTTGCCAGTCATGTGTTCTGAAAAAATTATTTTCAAATTTGAAACTTGCACATATATAAAACAGACATGTTTCCACAATGACATAATAGCGTGGACATTTTCCCATGCTTTTAGCTTGCTGGAAACCAGTGAAATACTGTTTTGAGGTGAATCTGTAGCTATGTAACATGCCAATGTAATGTTAGCATTGGTGAAAACATTTGTTTTAAACAAGTCTTTGCACAAAATTAGCTCCACAGGTAGAGATATGACCTATGTGTCGTCCAGAAACATCCACTGATAGCATAGAAGCCTCTTCACACAGTTAACATTAGTACCATGTCATTTGCAGATGTGCTGTTAATGGAAAAGCTTAGATAACTGCAGTGTAAACAATCAGCTTCATTTCTGGCAAACTTCAACAGTATTTTTAATTTGACACAGGATTGCATAAAAGTGACTATGCACCAATTTAAGTGTGTTTTGTTTTTTGTTTCCTCTGGAACATTATATCTAAACGTGACAACAGATTTTCCAAATCCAGCTGTTCCTCTCAGATATCACCAACTGCCCAAATAAATCTCTGAATGTCAAACAGAATCTTAAACAGCCTTGACATATTGTAATAGTGCGAACTGTCAGACCTTAAAATTTACTTTTATTCCTACAGCTTCAGGGTTAAACAGCCCAAAGCACCATAAACTCTACAGTTCTGAACAGATTGGTGGAGGTAGTGGCTAATTGTAGTGATGTGCAAATAGATCCTGAAATATCGATACACTGTTTTTTGTTCTACGATAAATTCCCATGTTAAAAGATCTTAAAATAAGTAGGCTAATTTGGGGTAAATGTATATTTTGCCATGCACACACACACACACACACCTACACATATGCCCTTAGCCAGAGACAGTGGTTGAGATAAGAAGTAGCAATTAAAAGAATGGAACTGTTTTATATTACATGTACTGCTTTCTAAATGTGTCAGACACTGCAGAATAACAAGAACTTTCAGTTGGGAGTCTCTCGGCAACAAAGTGGATGTTGTATGTGGTTGCTGGGTGGAGCAAGATGGCAACCAAGATGGCATGTAAAGGGTCCCTGGAAGTATGTATGTATGTAGTATATGGCAATGGTTCATCATGTGGATGAGAGGTGCAGCTGGAGGTCATGTTGATGTGTAGAGTTTAGGTGAAATTTGGATGAGTCCAGGTCAGTTTAGCAGGTTGTTTATGCTCTTTCACAGCTCTTCTTATGATCTCCCAATTCCAACCAACAGTGCCACCAAAAAGCAAAAGTTTCCCAAAAAGTACAGCACAATCAGCAGGGTATCAGTTGAGGTCTGACAAAACAATGCAGCTTACATTAGAAATAAATACAGTATGTTTTTTCCTTATTTTTTTAAATTTAAGCCATATTTTTGTCTTACCACTTTTGATCCCAGTGTTTCTGTAATATAAAAGAAAACAGAAATGTCAAAGCTGCTGCAGGATACTTAGATAAATACACATTTTCTCCACATCACATACTTCATATTTAATTTTGTTGTGTGTTTTTGTGTGTGGTCAACACTAAAAGAATCTTTGAGACACATAAACACAAATGAAAGTCCTAACAGATCCAGCAGCCTCTAGACCCAAACAATAAAATGACTTTAAAGACCTGCTCAAAGTGGAACATTGTAATTAATCTGTGCAACTTTGTGAAATATTTGCTGGTAGAATCTTGGTGCTGTAGTGACTACTCACAGGGCAAGTTGGTGGATTACTGTAGCTGATGAGCTGCTTGCTAATGCATTACAAATAAATAAGGCTGGCACCTTTTAAATGTGTTAAATGTAAACTTACATGCCCTGTCTGTGTAAACAGAGTTTAACTGAAATTTGAATTCAATTGTTCAATTTTTTTTATTAAAGCTTGAAATAAGTTTCAGTTTCAATATTCATTAAAATGAATGTTTTAATGCATTAACTTTTTCATTTAAATTAACATTTAAATACATTTTTAGCTCAATTAAGTTTAACATATTTGATCAGTTATGTTAACTAATACATTTTTTCATTTGCCTATTTTGTTAATATAATTATGACCCATCCAGTCTCAAGGATTCTTTTGGTGTTGACCACACACATAAACACAATTATGACCCATATCAACATTAATAATAACATTAGATGCCCTGACAGTGATTCCAGTCACATCGTATCTTGAGGTTGTTCTTAAGGAGTTACATCTGCTCTAAGGTTTCTACTCTGATAGCACTGGAAATGATAAGAAATGTTCCCTAAGCCTGCTTACTCTTTATATTCTGCCCACAATAGAGTATTTGATTGACCACCAAAAGTTTTTTGACTTTTACTCAGATGAAAATTTTGAAGTGAGAAGTCTACACAACGCTCAAGGTGCAGAGAGGTTAAAGTAAGTTAAGCAGGGAGTTCCGCTAGTTTCATCTCAACTGCAAATATCCACCAAGAGCCACTTTACATTTTATTAGACACAAAAATACCAATACAAAATGTGTTTACCTGGCCTGTTAACCTTCCATTTGAAATGGACATCAAACAAGATGAAGAACAGAATTTCCCAGCCAAAGAAACCGCCCATCACCTTCGGCATCCATTGGTTTGCAGAGACATCAACCCAGCTCAGGCCGGTGAATATGGCTGCCACTGTGTGATGCACAGAAATACAGCCGTTTCAAGACTTTTAGCAAGAGTTAACAGTATGTAGGAGTTGAATTTCTAAACAATTTTACTGGAGTGAACAAAATCAGAAAATATTTAGTGTCTCAAAGCAACAATATATAACTGACAGTTTGTCTCCCCCCACAGTATTGCTGGGGGTAATTGGGTTGTCCCCAACTGTCATAAACACTAGTGGTGCTTTGACCCCTCATTATGATCAGAGGTACATGTGCATTTGTTTATAAGACAAAGCTGTTACTGAACCGTGAATGACAACCAAAGAATGGTAAGGCAATATTACAGGTTTTTATACAAATATGACTCTGCATTGTTTTATTTATTGTTACATCAAAGATGAATGGTCAGAATAATGACAGTTTTTTTAGTTATACTGAAATACAGCTTTTCAAATAGTTTGCTAAATGTTTGCAGCGAAAGTTGAACCAGATCCAACATTTTTGCCAAGCAGTGTTGTATTGTTTTGCTGGAGCCCTCTGCTTATGCGGTGAATGCAATCCCCATAGAAATGAATGGGGAGAGGTGTGTTTTTTCACACCTTTGAAACTCAGTCTGAAAAGCAGTAATGCTTCTGACTACTCTAAGGCTGACATTGTATACTGCATGCATATCTAGCCTGTCTATATACTGTAAATGATCTTTACTGTCTGTTTCTTTGTTTTTCAGAAATGACTACAGCAACAAAAATGATTAGAAATGTATCTATCTATATGCTCATATTCATCAAGGTTTCATACTACTATAAGTCCATAAGTGTTCTAAGATCCTGCAGATGAAGCAAATAGTGATAAATGGATAATGTTACTTGTAAATATTCTGTTCTGGGAGTCTGTTGTGTTGAGCATGTTTTATGATGGGACAGATGTCTTCTGAGTATACACCATTCTTCGTACTACTAGATGTGTGCTTTAGTCTGTGTCCTGCTGCACAGCTTGTTCACAATCACAGTAGGTGATTGTATTAAGTCAGTAAGTCTGAACTTTAAGTCCAAACTCCCGAGGACAGGAGGACACAGAACTCTTGAAGTGCAACTGGAACACCAGCATCCTTGCTGACAGCCTTACACTGCTCTGAACGAGATAGCTGCCTGCTAAAAAAATTTAGCTTGGTCTACTAGTGGGTCCTCACAGCTCAGAAGACATCAGAGCAAATTTCCAAATTGGAATTACTTGGATAGACTGACCACAGATTCACAATCTCAGTGGTTACTTTCTCACCTGAAAAAAATCTAATCTCAGTCAAGTCCCAGGAATTTGTCTCTGCATGTAAGAATACTGAGCTATCAGAGGGGTCTGGTGCCTTAAAGCAAAACGCAGCTATCACATGAGGTCTCTGGGACGATGATCTAATGTTACATAGTGCAGTAACAGACGATCCGGCTACACAGTGGCAATAGCAGAGATACCATTCACCTTATTAGAAGTCAGTCTACCATCATACCATATCATACCATGATTTTGAAGCTGTTATTTTAATGTAAAAAGTTACATATTGTTGCTTTGATGGAAGACAAGAGCTTACCAGCTAAAGCTTTTATTGCCACTGCATTTATAGCATGTGACCAGTTGAACAGATATCTCCTGTCAAAGAAAAGAGGAAAATATATAATGATCAATAGCTGAAATAAGACTGTCTTCTCTAGAACAATGATAGGACTGGATTATTGTTGCTATAAAAACAATTTATAAGCATGACACTTTACTCTTGAGCTGGGAGACAAAATAATATTAATTCAGGCTCAGTGACTAGTGACACTAGGCTTGTTGTTTTTTTTTTAAATACTTTTTTTTTTGACAGTTAACTGTGCTTTTATACACACACACATCAAGGTACTGTACTTACTTTGGGTGTTGTGGTGCACAGCGCAGCAGAGCCACTATGGGCTGGAAGAATGAGAGGATCATCACCAGGCAGCCTAGGACAGGATGGGCTCCCTGAAAACAGCACACAGCAACACTGACAGTGACTGACATACCCCTGTCACGCTGGGAACAATGTGTGACTGTGTTGGGTGTGACATTTCTTAATTTTTTTTTTTCCACCACAAGCATGTGGTTAAATTTAGTCTTATGGAAGTTTATGTTGTGTGTAAAAAAAAAGATCCTGGTATGAAAATGGTCCAGTTGGTTTCTTCTAAGTGGTGATCTTTAGAGGTATGCAATGAGAGCTGTTTCTGTTTCCCATTGAGTCAAGTCTGTAACCAAGTCAAATTTGCTATGAAGCCTGTTGTAATGTAGCTTCTCAACAACATATCACTGCATAATGTTTAATGAGTCCCAGTAATGCTGATGTACTGACCCCACTCCAGTCCTGGGCGTATGAAAAGGCGAGGATGAAGGCGATTATTGTGGCTGCTACCGTCAAACACATCAGTGCTGCATGGACCTGGAGGAGCACAAGCAGTACAACATGCTGTACAAGTTAAATATATACTCCACAAAGCTTTTTCATTTGACCCTGGTTTTGATGGTAAATCAATGTATTTCCTTTGCATGTGACAATATTTTATGTATCGTATTTATGTGTTGTGTGTTAGTATTTATGTCCTTTATCTGAATTATCATTTCAGGCCCCTTATTATCAAATTGTTTTGCTTCTTAATTTTATGTTTTCATGGTTGGTTTTCTAAATGTTTCTGCTCACACTCTGAAAAATATAAGCTGACAGTGGTGTGCATAATGAAAATAAATCCATGATACTTTGTTGTATCTATGAATTCTCACCAGGAACCAGATATCTTTGCCACAGAATTGAGTTCCTTTGGACATTCCTTTCAGATATCGGGCTACCAGCATTCCCACTGATCCTGTGGTCATCCAGGCTATCAGCATCAGCGAGCCTGAAAAACAATTTAATGTCACAGTTCATGAAGGGAGGCTGCAGTACTATCAACAAGATTATGGACTTGTGTGGGAGTGAAGTTAAGGTGGCTGCCCTCCATTGTGTTAGCACATGGTGATGAAGAAAATAATATGTCCCCAATCTTCCTGCCACAGAAGAGTGACACTACAAGGTGCTTTACAGTAAAACATAATACAAAGAAATAAAACCAGATAAAACACATCTACACAATAAAATAACAGCAAAAATGCATAATCATGCAAATACATCAATCAGTGAAGTTGTTAAAAGCCAGTGAATACAAATGCATTTTACTTTGTGCTTTCAAAATTATGCCTATATATTGATGTGATATACCCACACACACACAAAATACATAAATAAAATAAAAAATGTTATCTACAGTTGTTGAGTAGTAATGACATAAATTCACAGTTTTTGAGTACATCCATAAACACAATAAAAGATTGAAGAAAGCACTTTGTCTCACAGCTACTTATACATTACAAACGATTGCTCATGACAAGAGCTAAAAAATCACCCATTTAACATGCTGGTGCATGCCCAGCCATCCTGACTAACTAGTCTGACTAAATGGTTTATCAGCTTACTCACCAAATACACTGTACATGGGCTGTGCACACTTTTCAGTTACTGTCTCAGGTTTGTCCAACAATCCAACAGTCCATGCAGTGTCCAAATTGAAAATATCTTGTATTCATGGAACCATACATGTGCTCTGTAAATTTCTTGTCAATGTAAGTGCTAAGGAAAAGGCCAGGAGTCATCAAGATCATTAGGACATGTCCTCTGACAACCCTGCCTAGTCACAACTAATTTTTATCACAGTCCAGTGACTGTCAAAGTGTTGGACAGACCAAGTGATATGATATGTCCTACTGTTAGGAGACAAGATCTCACCATGTGCTTTGATGATTGGAGGAAATGTCTCCTCACTTTCCACATTTGCAGCTTTAGTTATATCAATCTTTTCACTGCTGACGAAGGTATCTCTGTGTTG